CCTTTTAAATGCCTGTGGTCATTTAAATGTCATCTACCACAGTTACAGAGCTATCCAGACAACTGTTAGCCCAGTTTTTCTCCTGATTTGTAAATCCAGGCACTTTTAGAGCCATGGACATGTCCAAAACTATGGTTTTGGTGACTTTCAAGAATACTCATAACACTATAAATACTAATCTAAAAAATGTATTACTGAAGCTGATGAGGAGTACAGTGCTTCAGGGCCTCTTGCTGCCAAGAGGTTTGTAGAGCAGGACCCTGCAGACGAACCTGTCTGTGTTCTGTGTGCGGTGGGGTGGCCGTGGAAGAGAGAGGGCCGGCCACTCCTAACATATAACTCAGGCTTATTAGCGACAGCAGCGGGGGAGCCAGCTTCTCATGAAGTGACTGTGGGTTTGCAAAAGCCTCCTGTACCGTCACACAAATTACACACCTCTTAGCAAGTCAGTTTCCAGACACCGAAACAAAACCGCCTCAGGCATTGTTAGAAGGAAGCCTTTCCCTAAGCAAGTCATACCCATGAGACCTGGTTTGCCAGGTACTCTCGACTAAGTTATGCAAAGACTCTAATTCCTTCTAAAGAGCAACTCAAATAATAAACACTGAGTTTAAACAAAACCTCAGAGCTTAGGTGCTGTCACTCAGGAATCCAAGCCAGATGCAGTAGAAAACCAGCTAAGACTTTCGTCACCACGTTGTCTAGCTCCAAGTCTATTCTCATTGCCTGTCACATTTCCTCTTCCCAGGGACAGTCAGAGGTTTTGGTCATGAGCTGTCATCTCAGAGTGTGATTCCTCTCTCGTGCCAACTCATTGGTGTCTGGAGCCTGTGGCTGGGGTATACTGGGGTAGTCCAAGGGAAAGAAAACATTGCTAAATAATGTCTTCCCATCAGGCTTTTTTTTTTATTTTTCTGGAATCCACATATATTAAATGAGTAACTGTTAGCTGAGCAGTGGTAGTGCACACCTTTAATCCCAGCACTCAGGTGACAGAGGCGGGCAGAAGCCAGCCTGTTCTATAGAGTGAGTTCTAGGATAGCAAGCGATACACAGAGAAACTGGTCTCAAAAAAGAAACGCTAAACTTTTAAATTAAAATATAATTAGTATAACATTTAATTTTAATGTAAAACTTATCATTTACCGTATACAGTTTTCTGGGTTTGATATCTTCAAAGTTGTACAACTACCACTACTAATTCCAGAGCTTTAACATGCTTCTACTACCTCTAAACACACACATCACCCTATTCTTTTTCTTTCTTTTTACTAACTTATTTTTACATTCCAATCCAAGTTCCCCCTCCCTCCTCTCCTCCTGCTCTCCCCCTCCCCCTCCTCACATCTGCTCCACATAAAGGCTAAGGCCTCCCCTAGGAAGTCTGCTAAGTCTGTCCCATCATCTCATTGAGGCAGGACCAAAGCTCCTGTCCACCCCACACCCCTGCGTCTAGGCTGAGCAAGGCATCTCTCCATGTAGAATGGGCTCCACTAAGTCAGTGTGTGCATTAGAGTTAGGTCTTGGACCCGCTGCCAGTGGCTCACATATTGTCTCAACTGCACCATTGTCACCTGTATTAAGGGAGTCTAGTTCAGTCATAATCACCCTATTCTCAGGCCACTCCTGCCATTGGCAATCCACGGTGCTTCTGTCTTTATGTATTTACCTCTTTGGACATTTCATGTAGTCACACAATGTGTGATCTTCTCTGTCTGGTTACCTCCACTTAGCATAAAGTTCAGCTATCATATATCATTCCATCATATTTTATGTCTGAAGCCTGTTCCATAGGAACATACAATATTTTTATCCTGTTATGCTCTGTAGACCAGGCTGGCCTCGAACTCACAGAGATCCACCTGCCTCTGCCTCTGGAGTGCTGGGATTAAAGGTGTGCACCACCAACGCCTGGCTGTATATATGCCTTTTAAATTAGACAGAAAAGGGTGATGATATGGGGTCTCCTTCTGTGTCCTGCAAATATGTGTTACTTTTATTGGTTGATAAATAAAGCTGCTTTGACCAATGGCCAGGCAAAATGTAGCTAGGTGGGAAATCCAAACAGGGGTATGGAGAAAAAGAAGATGGAGTCAAGGAGATCCCACGTAGCTGCAGAAGGAGTAACATTCCAGAGCATTACCAGCAAGCCATAGCCTTGTGGCAATACATAGATTAATAGAAATGGTTAATTTATAGGGTTATAGGGTTAATAGTGTTAATTATAACACTAGCCTCTGAATGATTGTTTCATAAGTCACTGTGGGGACCTGGGGGTGGGAGAGAAACTGGTCCAGTGGGAGAAACAGAGAAAATCATCTCACTACACTACTGGGTTCCTCTTTTCTCCACAACTCTTCCATTAGTACCAGTATTCACACCAAGGGAGCTTTTGTATAGTACTCAACATTCACTCACCAACATATATTCATTTATTGAGCATTATATGTGAGATACATTGATATATAGAACAAGGCATTGGAAATGCAGTACTATGTGAGACGTCTCTGGCCCTTACCCTGATGGAGTTCACTGACTAAGGGGACAGACAGCTTATATTTGGTTGTGTGTGGAGGGGTAAGAATGAGACATTGGCAAGCCTAGTTTACTTCTAGAATATATTTGCCTTTTTCACTTTGAATCAGGTTCAGTTGTTCTGGGTTGGGCTCTGTGCACCCTCCAGCAGAGGGCGGTGTTATAGAGGAGTCACTAGTGCTCATAGCCTGGTATTGGATACATGCAGGGGAGCAAGGTTAGGCAGTGATTGATGAGGCGCCACAGAGATAGGATGTGCTTCCGTTGTTAGTGTTTGCACCGCTCACCCGTGCTGTAGCATGGATCGTGCTGCGTTACTCTTTATTACTGAGCAATGATCTGTGATATGGATACTATTCTGGTTTGTTATCCACTGTGAGAAACACCATGACCCAGAGCAACATGAGGAGGAAAGGGTCTATTTCATCCATAACTCAGTCCTCATGAAGGGAGTCAGGGTGGGAACTCAAGGCAGGAACTGAAGCAGAGCCACGGAAGAGTGCTGTGTAGCGAGCAGCCTGCTCAGCCTGAGCTCTCACCACCAGGGCCATCGGTAACACCCAAAATGGGCTAGGCCCTCCCACAGCAGTCAGTAGTGAAGAAAAGGCCCATTGGCATGCTACAAGCTAGTCTGGTGGAAGAATTCTTCAGGTGAGGTTTCATCTCTCCAGATGACCCATTTGTAAATACCAAATGTTGTTCATCTACTTATCAATTGATGAACTTTAGATTTTTTTTTTTCCACCTTTACCTATTGAAACTAGTTGTGGTATGAACGTTCAAATTTCTATGTGAACAAGTTTCTATGTGAACATATTTCTTTTAAAATATTTTAAATTTTATTATTTAAAAAGTTGCAAATAGCTGGGCAGTGGTGGCACGCAGCACTCAGGAGGCAGAGGCAGGCAGCCTGATCTACAGAGCAAGTTCCAGGACAGCCAGGGCTACACAGAGAAACCCTGACTCAGAAAACCAAGAGAGACAGAGACAGAGAGAGAGAGAGAGAGAGAGAGAGAGAGAGAGAGATATCACTTACTGAACCCAGGGCTAAGTGGATGACCAGCAAGCTTCAGGGATCCTCGTGTTTTTGCCTCTGTATGGGAATTATGCATATGCACATAGGCATATGCACAAATTCAGGTTCACAGGATTGCATAATAGGCACTTTACTGAGTGAGACCCCTCCCCAGCTATTTTTAAATTTTCAAGTCTTTTTTAATCTGTGTTTTTATTTATACTTTGTCAAATGTCATTTTCAAAAGAATTCCATCTGAATGGGGCTAGAGAGATGGCTCAGCAGTTAAGAGCCCTTGCTGCCCAGAATCCACAGGGTAGAGCACAGCCATATGTAACTGCAGATCATGGTCCCACCCTCCCCTCCAGTTCAGGGCCCCACCCTCCCCTCCAGTTCAGGGCCCCCTTCTCTCTCTCCTGGCCTCTGTGGGCTCCTGCATGTACATTAGTATACACACAGGCAAAACCCCTGTGCACACAGAATAAAGATTTAAGAAAGACTCATCTGAGCAAGTGTACACTGATAACAAATTTAATATTTATAATAAAGCCTGGTGTAAGAGTTAAGATGCATTCTACAACTAAATACATTCTCTCTGGCTTTGGGGGCATTGATTGCTAAGGGTTTTTTTTTTTTTTAATTGATTTAGTTATCTGTCAATTTCATTTATGTGTGCAATATATTCTAATTACTGCCATCTCACACACCTCGTCATCTCTTCTCACCACCACCCCAGTCCCTACTAGTCCCTTCCCAGGTCCATGATTTTCAGGTTTGAGTTTCATTTGTGACCCATTTAGTTAAACCAGGGCCAGCTGTGTGAGCACTGGGTTGAACTACCCATTGCATCCCTGTATGGTCAACAGTGACTACACAACATTTTAAAGTCTTTAAGTTCTAGAGATACGTAGCTGGTGTTTAACTTAAACGTCCAGATTTAACAAGTATGACAATCTTATGAGTGAGCCGTAGATTATAAGCAGGACCTCGCTGTGATTTAGAGACTGGCTTGAGTTCCTTTAAGGGACTCTTCCTATTGCTGAATAGCAGTTATGTGCCCCACAGTTGAGATTAACTTCCCAATTCCCATTACAACCGAGTGTCATGGAGACCGTTGCCATGTACTTTTTGTACAAACAGGAAAGTGGAGGGCTAGGGCCGTGACTTACTTGGTGGTCTTCACAAACCCTTGCTGGAAGCCCTGCTCACTAAGGGGGAATTAACCCTGCAGGCCTGCCCCCTGCTTGCTTGCGTGCTCCCCACTGACCTAGAAATGAACCACTGAACTCAGGACTTCTTCCCTCCCAAGTCTGGATTCCACTTTTTTGAAGTTCTTTAAAGAAAATTGATAATCTCCTCAGTCCCTCAGCTCTAAGTACTTGGTATCCAATGAGTGGCTGGACAGTGGGCGGGGCTGGCGAAGGGGCGGGGCTTAGCTCGGGTGCCTGTAGTTGCTGTTTGTAGTGGGCAGTCCTATGAAGAACCATGAGCTGGACTTGTCCGCGGTGTCAGCAATCAGTTTACTTCGGTGAGGCTGGGACTGAGGAGTAAAGATAATCGTGAGCCCCCGGGGCCCCTGTATCACCTAGTGAGCGAGCGAGCGAGCGAGTGAGAGAGCGAGCGAGTGAGTGAGTATGCCCGCCACACCTCCAAGAGGCTCTACTCATTGTCTCCAGAGACCTAGACTGGCTGGGCTGGTTCCCCCAGAAAGCTGAAGGAGCAAAGGGGGGGGGGGCGTCTGGTGCTGGGCTCCACTCAACTCTGCAGCCTGGATCCGCCTTGTTCCCCACAGCTGAGAAAGTCAGCTCCATAGGCAAGAACTGGCACCGTTTCTGCCTGAAATGTGAGCACTGCCACAGCATCTTGTCCCCTGGCGGGCATGCAGAGGTGAGGCCTGACCAGGGTGACAGCCCTCTTACCACACACCCCAACCCGATAGACCCCAATGCCAGCCTTGGAGACCTGCCAAAAGCACCCTCAGAAGACACCCTCAGGGGCTGCCCACTTGATGGGTCTCATAGTCAAAATTTGGGTGTCTCGGTGGTGCTGTTGGCCCACGGCTTTGAGGGAGGGATAAGCGGTTGCTGTCTTCCACCCATACCCTCAACCTATAGACCACAGTGGCAGCTCTGACACGCTAGCCTACCACCCACCCCATCAGACCCATCAGACTAGAGCACACACTTGACCTGATAGCCAGTACTGAGAAGGCCTGAGAGGCAGGCCCCTTGGCCCTGAATGATCCCTTCCCTCTGCCTGTGCCTGTGCCCAGCACAACGGGAGGCCATACTGCCACAAGCCTTGCTATGGGGCTCTCTTTGGACCTAGAGGTAAGTCCCAGCCTAGAAGGGGCCAGGGGCCACAGAGCTCTCCCTGTGGCTAGGAGCCTGACCTCCACTGTTGGGTCTTCCCTCTGCAGGGGTCAACATTGGTGGTGTGGGTTGCTATCCCTACAGTCCTCCAGCTCCCTCCTCTGCCAGCAGCGTTTCCCTCAGCCCCAGCAACTTTAGCCCCCCTAGGCCAAGGGCTGGCCTCCCCCAGGCCAAGAAAAGTAAGTGAAGGTGGGCTTCAGCTGTTCTGCTCCCCCGACTCTTCAGGCTGCGGTAGGCACTGCGTCCCAGAAGCCGCCACCTCCCTGCCCTCCCCTGCCCACCGCCCGGCCTGTGACAGCTCTTGGCAATCCTGTCTGTGGCTCTGGTTTGTTTTTTTCCGTTCTCTCGTGTGAGCTGAGTTTAAAAGGTAAACTGGGCAGATAGCACGATCCTCGTTTTTGCAAGTGACACCCGGATTAGAGTAAGGCTGGCCTGGAATCTGGGCCTGTTCCCTGGCCAGGGCAGTAAAAGGAAAGACCTAGAGTGACGGTTACTAGGATGGGCCAGGTCCTCAGACTGTCCGCAGCCCCTGTCCCTTCCTTATCCTCCGCACAGTGGGCAGTGATGCCATGCTCCCCAACACCTGACACCACTGCCCTGCCCGGCTCCTGTATCAGCTCAGGTTCCCTCATGATTGAGTTACCGCCACTGCTGAAACGTGGGACCAGTGGGTTCTCGAGGCCACGCGAGGGTGACAAGGAAGCTGATGGTCCCTAATGAAAATGACGAGTCTTGAACTCATGGATGCCTGGGGTGTGATGTGGGGATGAATGGGTTTGGGGAGAAGACAGTGCCACAAACAGGCAGGGGCTGGAGGGCTCTGCTTAGGGACTGGCCCCTACCACAGCCTTAGCTGGGGCCTCTTCCCATTAAAGGCCTTCCCTACACGAAGACATTCACTGGGGAGACCTCACTATGTCCTGGATGTGGAGACCCTGTCTATTTTGGTAAGCGACAAGGGAAAGCTTGGAGAGGTGCGGGGCGCTGGTCAGGCAGGGAGTTGGCCTTGCCCTGTCCCCAGGATGGAAGAGCTATCCCTCCTCTCTACCACCAGCTGAGAAGGTGATGTCTTTGGGCAGAAATTGGCACCGGCCCTGCCTGAGGTGCCAGCGTTGCAGGAAGACCTTGACTGCTGGGAGCCACGCAGAGGTGAGGAGGGCAGGGATGGAAGTTGTATTTGAGGAAGGAGTCTGGAGGTGGGAAGAGAGGCAGGCTGAGGAGAGTCTTTTTCTGTGTTCCAGCATGACGGCATACCCTACTGTCACATCCCCTGCTATGGATACCTGTTTGGCCCCAAAGGTGGGCAACATGACCCCAGGCACTGGGCCTAAAGTATCAGGGCCTATGGGAATGTGTGGACAACTTCCCTTGTGGTCAGACATCCCAGGCCCCTTCCCTTTCCCTTCAGCCCTCATCCCAACGTCCATTCCACCAAAGTCCTTGGTGACGGGCTTTCTCCTTCAGGTGTGAACATTGGCAATGTGGGTTGCTACATCTATGACCCAGTGGAGATAAGACCTAAATGAGCCATTCATGGGAGTGATCATCCTAACTCTGGCTTCCCACCCTCTCCTTCATGACCCAGTGGAGATAAGACCTAAATGAGCCATTCATGGGAGTGATCATCCTAACTCTGGCTTCCCACCCTCTCCTTCATGGTCCAGTGGAGATAAGACCTAAATGAGCCATTCATGGGAGTGATCATCCTAACTCTGGCTTCCCACCCCTTCATGGTCCAATGGAAACTCTGGAATTCCCTAGTCCTTTCTGGAGGAAGACGGTGAAATCCTGGGGGCCTGGGCCTAGGCTCTAAGGTAGACCTGTATCTAGATTTCTCTGCTTCCTCTTTCCTATCTGGGTGGGCTACCCCACTTAGAATGGCGATCTCCTGGCTTCCCAGTTCTTTCTCTCAGCAATGCTGGGTCATTTACTGAGTCTCAGCTCTGGTTTCTCTAATAAAATGTTGACTCTCATACTTTCAATTCTTTAGGTATGAATCCTAGACAGTAATGGGGGGGGGGCAGGGGCACCAGTAGCCATGGCAACAAGAAGCTCCATCTGTTATTCCCAGCCTTGGAATTGGGCAGATCTTATCCCTGCACCATAGGCAACATACCCATCAGCCTTGTGTGTACTAGAGATAATCATAGGACTGTCCTTTAGCAACATTTCTAGAGTCGCCTTGTTTGGTCTGAGCATGAAAATCAATCCTTCCTACTAGGAAGTTTCATTAGCCACTTGGGAGAGGGAGGGTGGCAAAGCTGGAGTCAGAGCTGAGGGTGGTCAGTGGCTTCCCATCCCGGGACCTCAGGTCTCAATGCTGCCCCAACCCATGAGGCATCTCGTTACAGACTCTCCAGCAGCCAGGGCATGTCCTGTTGTGGCAACTGCACTCTTCATTGAAGGGCTGTTTCCAGCCCCTGCGGAGGGCTGTCTCTAGTCTCCGTTCCGGACCTGCGTATCTTCTTCCTGAACACTGGACAGGACAATGGGGAAGGAGGGGTCAGGAACATGGAGTGTAGTCCTGGAGCCTACAAGGGCTGGCTCAGGGTTTGCCCCAGCTCCTTGCACACAAGCACACTCCCCCCCCCCACACACACACACAAGTCAGAAACTCCTATCTAGACGTATTGGCATACAGGCATAGCTGAATGTGCACATGTGTAACTCTTCTTAGACATTTGTATAAACATAAAGGTATATACAATGTTTTTTTGAGACAGAGTTTCTCTGTGTAACAGCCCTAGCTGTCCTGGAACTAGCTCTGTAGCTCAGGTTGGCCTCTGCCTCCTGAGTGCTGAGATTAAAGGCGTGTGTCCCACCGCCCACTCTCAATACATGCTTTTTGGAACACACTTTATGCACACCTTGAAACACATGTGTACACGTGTGCAGGTGTCAAGTGTAGTTGTGCAGCTGGCATCCCCTTTGCATCGCAAGTGCCGGGCTTAGGCACTCAAACTCACCATACCACACACATGCACACACACCTCTTTCTTTCCACATCCTGGATGGTCTCTGGCAGTTGTGACATCTTTGTCTCAGGCAGCAGGAGTACAGTGAAGGCAGCCAGCAGGGCAATTCCTCCATAAACAAGTTTGGGCAGCATCAGCCATATTCCATCCAGCAACGTTGCCAGTGGGGCCAAGGAGGCCCCTAGCCGGCCGATGAGTGCAGTGAGTCCTAGTCCTGTCTGTCTGTTCAAGAGACGATGAGGGGCCCATGTGTCACAAGGCTCCCTTCCTGGGCTGGCAGCCCCTGATACAGGCTTCTCACCCCCCTGCCCAGACCAGGGGCTCTTAACCCAGTGCCCACCAGAGGATGGAACCCCTATTCTGACAGTGCTAATCAGGGACCACTCCAAGAAGCTACAAGATGCTAGTGTGGAAGGGAGGTCTGTAGCTTACGGAGGCACTGGCATCTGAGGGGAAGCCCCTGGCCTTGTGCCCAGAGAAAATCCCCAAGGGCCCTGCAACATGTGGGCGGGCAGGGTGGGTGTTCTTGGGACTGTTCCTTCAAAGAATTCCCCACAAGACTGACTCAAAGGGTGACCCAAAGTCACCCAGTACAGAATATAAAATTCCCTGTGCTCTCCAAGACTTGGGCAAACAACCATGGAGTATCTGGCTGTAGCTAAAGAATGGCCAGGGCAGTATGTGACCGCAGATGCCTTTGTTAAGGCAGGACAGTCTCCTGGAACCCCAACTCACCTGAGCACAGTCGGGTACAACTCAGAGGTGAACAGGTAGGCTATAGTGAAGGCAGCTTCAGAAAACCCTTTGCCCAACACCACCAGCGTAGTGGTCCAGGCCTTGGTCCCTGGAGAGAAAAGGGTTCCTGCAGTGAAGGGACGATGCCAGGAACTCCCAGGGTGTGAGACAGAGTCTTGGCCCAGGGCAGAGCCAAACTGGCAGACCTCTGCTCACCAGAAGATACCAGCAAGCTGATGCCAAAGGTCAGAGCAGCACCCAGCAGCATTCCAGCCTCAGTGAGGCGGCGTCCTACATGGCGCACGAGGAAGTAGACTATGATTTTGGAGGGCAGCTCCGTAATTCCTAACAGCAGCTGTGTCTGGTAGATATTCAGTCCCAGTCCAGACACATCCAGAACCAGGCCGTAGTAGGAAAAGTTCACTCCAAACCTGAACAGAATTACAGTGCTCCTCAAGGGCCCTCTCTGACCAGGCCTCTCCTGTCACACCTGCAGCCCAGGAGCCCCACCCACAATCCCCAAGTAGGTTACCAGTGGCCAAAATGCCTTTACCCCCAATCTTAGTAGCAACCGCGTGACATGGAACTTAACAGCAAGCTGTTCATTTCACAAAAATAGTTAAGGATCAGTGTCACATAGTCAGAGCCTAAATGTGAGCCTACATGTCCCTGCTGTCTACTACACTGGACCTGTGGCAGAGTCCCCTGCCTGCCCACAAGAGCATGGGTGGCCTTCCTACCCTCCCCAGTCACACCCTTGACCCCAACTTTGTCAGTCCCAGCCCCTCTTTCCACCACCCTGCTCCATCAGACCCAACTCAGCCCTGTCTCACCACAACACCATGCAGCACAATGAGATGTGCCGGAGGTGCGGTGTTCGGAACAGGCTTAAGTATGAGGGTCTCTGGAGCAACTCTTCCATGCTGATCACTTTGTTCAGGGCCTGGTGAGAGAGAAAGCAAGGTTGTGACATGAGAGCTTGTCTCAGAAGCCGGTGTACTCTGTCTCAGTGTCTCTCCTCAGCAGTACTGGGGGAGGGAGCACACACGGATGACACACACGCACACGCACACGCATGCACGCGCACACATGCACTCATGCACGTGCACACACAGAGGCACGCACATGCACACATGCACCCACATGCACACATGCACTCACGCACGCAGGCACGCACACACATGCACTCACGCATGTGCACACACAGGCACGCACACGCACACATGCACACGCTCGCACATGCACACGCACGCACGCGCACACATGCACTCACGCACGCGCGCACACAGGCACACACACGCACATGCACACATGCACACACACATGCATGCTCGCACACGCACGCACGCGCACACATGCACTCACGCACGCGCACACACGCAGGCACGCACACGTACACGCACGCACGCGCGCGCCTCGGGGCGGGGAGACTGTTCTGAAGCCAAGCACTCTCCACTAAGGGACAACAGCTTTTCTAGTCATCTATGATGGGCCCAGGAGAAGGGGCACTTAGACACACACCCACTCCACCTACCCCTGTGCATTCTCTCATACTCTGATACACAGTGACACCCTCACCTCCTGGCTCAGACTGTCCTCACCCGCAGGCCGCCCATTCAGCTTGGCACAGCGGACTAAGTATTTTCGGGCCTCCTCCACACGGCCCTGGGTTAGAAGCCACCGTGCAGACTCAGGTACCCACCTAGGGGAGAAGCCAGAGGACCTTCAGCCAGAAGCCAGCCTGGCAGCCACCTCCCCCTCCCCCTCCTGAGCTTCCGGGCTAAGATAGACCCAGGTTCTCACACAGGCAGGCAGTCCTCTGCCCCCAAGTCTTCTACTGCCCAGCCTCATGAACTCTTTGTTCAGGCCTAATTTAAAAGCTACCTTGTAGCCAGGTGGGGGTAGCACATGCCTTTAATACCAGCGCTTGGAAGGCAGAGGCAGGTCAATCTCTTCTGAGGCCAGCCTGGTCTACAGAGTGAGTCCCAGGACAGCCAGGGCTACACAGAGCTGGATTTGCATGCTGATGGGTGTCCTGGGAATTGAACTTGGGTCCTTCTGTGTATGCTGTTACCAGCTAAGCCTCCTCTCCAGCCCCTGTTTTAGAACCTTAGTCTCTAGTTATCTCTCCCTCCCTGCTACTTGCAGTTCTCACCAGATGCTGATGATGCCTGGGACACACGGCAAGGTGACAGCTAGCAGAAGCCACCGCCAGCTCCGGATCAGGTACCCAACTAGTGCCAGCAACAGCACACCTGCCGTCCAGAAGATGGTACTGATGACCCCAGCCACGGTGCGGTGTCCCACATCCAGCCACTCCAGCTCTAGACCCAGAGTCATCCGAGACAGGAAGACAGTTAGCAAGGGCCAGATGGGCCCGTCTCACTCTAACTGCCTCCCACCAGGCCTGCAGGCCTTGCCCACGTTTGTTTGTCGGCCTCACCCAGTGGCAACACAATGATGGTGAGGCCAGCCAGGGCTAAGCCAGTGAGAGTTCGCGTGATGACAAACACGACATAGCTGACCGAGGCCGCGGATGCCAGGCCCAGCACCAGGGAGCTCACGTAGGCCACCAGCAGAAGCCGGCGCCGGCCAAACCTGCAAAGAGCCATGTAAGGCCAGGTCCCACTGGGGCTTCCCAGCACGTGGGTGAGAGGCCCCCAGCCTAATCCCTTATTTGCCTTGGGCCCATCTCACCTGTCAGACAAGTATCCGTACACCACAGCCCCCAGAATCATGCCTATGAAAAAGCAGGTGGATGTGATCTTATTCAGTCCTCTCTGCTCGCACACCAGATCCCACTGCAGAGAGGCGAGGGAAGAGCCTTTTGTGTGAATGAACCCCTCTCCAGCCAGCACCAGGCCCTCCTCTCCAGGCTCCAGAGCAACTCTGACATTCCAGAAGATACCCCACCCCTGGCTAGCAGCCTCAGAATCAGAACGGGAAGACTGCCTCTCCCTGGACCATCACTGCGCCCAGGAATCGCATTGTCTTCCTCTCCCTGGGCAGACTCCC